ATTCATGAGGATCAAAACTATCTTTAGAATATGGATAAATTGCATAAGCCATCATATTGCCAATAAATCCCAATATAGTCTGAAAATTGCTGATCCAGCACTTGCAGTTCCTGTGTGCATTTCTTTTTTGTGTAACTAGTCAGGTGCAAATTGTTGAGGTATACTTGGTTTAAACTCAAGATAAGTGATGCATCTCTGGAAATGTATGTCAATGAGCGAATGGACTCAGCTTTAAGTGATATAACACAAACAGTGTTCCGTAGTTATTGCAGAATTATGACTTTCTTTGGTGACCCGTAACTTTTAAGGTTATGGATGTTATAGACAAGAAAAAAGGTTTAAGATTATTGCAGCATTTGTGTCTTGTGTTAAACAGATACTTTGATGAAGGAAATGTACTTGTAGCAGATGCTTACAGGGAAGCTATCGGAGGCCTTTTTGACACTATAGATAGTAAATAAGCTTTGGTAATAATGACCTTGAACAGCGATAACTTGATTCATATTTCGCTTAAAGCTGTCGCGATCTATAAAGGTATGTTTATTGGGCCGCATGAGAAACTATCTGGAATGACTAGATTAAATGCAGAAAGGTGTATTTATAGGAAGTTTGGATCAGATTTTTTTCAAACTAACTCATAAACATTTATTTGGATCCTTGAAAGAAATTGATTTCAATGAAGCCTAGGCACAATGCCAAAAGCTGATGCTGTTTTTTCGGTCAGTTAACGAAGCTCAGTTGAAATTATTTTTGTGTGCATGCATTGTATTTTCTATAATGTCTGACTCCAATAATTGAATGATCAAAGACTACACAGTTCTGGCTTGATAGGCTTTCTAACCATATATGAAAGGTTTAGGTGAGAGACGATATTGAATGATTTGAAACCTTCAGATGTGCTTCATGGAATGATTGGACAAAAAGCTGAGATTATGACCTTTAATGAAAATGGAACTTAATCAAACATTAAATTCTTTACTTGAGTAATATTCTCTGTTAAACAATAAATACTTCAGGGTATATGAGTACTCAACTGGTTCTAGTTCAAACTCAGTATCACTTGTAATCCTTAATAGTAACTTGCAACAAATGGTGAGAAGTTTGAAGTTGTATGACACTATCATTTGAAAATAGATGAATTCATCGCATTTGGCCTTCTCAAAATAATTGCATTGTCTCCAAGCATGCTCTGTTATTTTTTCAACTCCTATTTTTTTTTTGACTGAAAAAACAGGGTGAAAACCCTGTTCATTTGAAAATCTTATTGCAAACCAAAACATAGTACATCGCAGCTAGTTGTAGACTCGCAAGGGGTAAAGCAGACCCTCTGCGACAACTCCTATTTTTGTTTGTCATATGATTCAATATTTTTTTATTCTTCTTAAATCATACTTGAAGTTTCCAATCCTTTTCTTTTGTTGCTTCATTGGGTGTGGTGTTGTTGTCATCTATTTGCTCATAGCAATTATTTGCTCTGACCTTATTGCTATAATCATAGTTTAGATTCTTCATGTTTTGGCTTAACAAAAGTAAGTAGCAGTTGTGCTGGAATGAGAAAATTAGTGATGTAAAACGAAACAGGGGGTCCATCGGAATCAGCGATTTAATTTGAATAACGCACCATCTTGCCAAAATACATGATATTCGGTAGGAAATTAAATTAAAACAGTTAACGCGACAGATGGGTTTAACAAGATTTATAACAATAGTCATAAACAGTTCCAATCTCAAATATTTTAATCGCAATATTAATTATTATTTCGCAAGTTCTATATTCAATATCACAATTAATCAGTCACATGTTCAGTTCTCTCAACTCACAAAATAAATTAAACAGTGAATATATGATAATAGTTTAGAGATTGAATACGCATGCAATTAACTGATAATTATGAGATTAACA